AACTGGTGCGAATCAGTTAATAAACAAAGAAAGACAGAAACTCCCCAACTTCCTAATTGAGAACTCTAACATTTAATTAGTACGATCTTGCATTAATTGGACCGTAGTGGTTCAGTAATAAAGCAAGACTTAAGTGATTATCTATGCGATAAAAGTGTGCATATCATTAAGAAATCGCTAAATGTTTTTTTTCCTTTTTCCGCAATTTACGAGCTTATTTTGACAAGTTTCTTTAAAAGTTCCTCGTTTCTTAATTTCTCTATGCTCTTTTGCTTGCTAAGAAGTCTGTCTTGTTTTCGAAGTTCTTGGATACATTCTACTGCTGACTTAAGAATGGTTATTTTAGCCACTTTTTCTCTCTCGTCAATTTCTGGAATACATTTTCGAAGCTTTTCGTATTTAGAATTCATTTCGCTGCGTCGTTTTCTTTCAAGTCTGTTCCTAAAACGCAGAACATCACAGCGACTCGCCTTGGGTCCTCCATCGCTAGATTTTAGGTTATAATCCTTTTCCTCTTCATCAGCGACCGCACCGCAGTGATCTTCAGAAAAGGAGACTTCCTTTTTACACACGGAATTACTATCTTTCCGATAACAATTCGCGACATGTATATTTTGAGTGTCTACTGAGACATCATCGTTGCAACAAAGACTTTCCTCAAAGTCGAAATCGTCAAGTTTTTCTTTTTTGAAGTTTATCTTTTTATCATTCGCTTGATCCTCTTCCACGCTCGGGAATTCAAACACTGTTGTGGTTATTGAGTTTTCCAAGTGCTCTAGTGTTGCCGCTGGGGTGAAATTTTCAGGTAGATAAATTGACAGGTCCTCTGATGGTCTTTTTCCAAAGGGACTCAAGATCATCAGCGCTAACGGACTCATCGGCGCGGCTAAAAAGTTCACTGGACTTTTCGGAAGGGGTGAAAACGGAAACGTTGGTGTCCTTAATGGTTCTGTTGTAGTACATGATGCTATCGCGAGAAGCGGCGTTTTACGAGCGTACGAAAGACCTTCGGCTTGCTCAGTTAATTCTCGAGGATATTGAGTGTCAACGTTTATAATTGGTTTCCTTTTAGCGCGCTTTTCGCAACATCTGACGGCACACGAATCGCGCGAAAATGGACTAGTAGAAACGTCCTCGAAAACCGGGTCGTTTTGAGGAACTACTTGTAGATTATTCTTCTCGTACTTCTTTGACAATGAGCGTAGAACTTTGTCTTGCAACTGTGACAACGTAACTTGGTTACATTTGTACATCTCGTTTGTCTTATCATCACGAGACCAGTCGGAAGACATTGCGTTCATCATTTGAAAACAAAACATCGAATCTTCACTGTCCATGAGTCGTCACGTTCTAATAACTTTTGGGCACAGTTCAGTATGATAAGATGAACTTCAACCGGTTTGTAGATTCACTTAGCGGGTTCGATCATTCCAAAGGTTGTACCAAATTGAATTTTGTTCCCTGCTTCGTTGTGTATAAATAAGTCCAAGGTCGTAATATGTTTACTAAGCGATTCGCTTAAGAACAATACACTACCTGCCATATCGGTGGGGCAGGAATGTAAACCCCTACGTCACTACTGTTTTTCAACTTGTCTATCTCATACATTTGAAATACTCTGCGCTGCCGCTCAACTTTACATTGTATCTCCGGAAGTTTAAATTAACGTTACGTTAGCCAACGAAATTGTAAAGAAAACCAAAATAATTGGCTTGATATGTCTTTTTAAGTCCAGAAACAAAAGAGAAAGACACTTTTCCGGCGAATTAAAATATTTTCTAGAAGGATTTACATTTTTTACGTCTATGACACAAATGTTTACTTCCAAGCACCTGTTCAAAAAGGATTATTCTGGAGCCTTAGTTGCTATAGAAACGTCGGAATACTAAAAAGCAGTTCTCTAATTCGAATTGTAAAACAGGCTTTATACCATCATGGTGGCCTGAATTCAACTGAGAGAAGAGAGATTTACCAAGGCAAGTATTTTAATTCAACACTGGACTCATTTTAAAAGTCAAGACAGTAATTCTTGAATCGAATCGAACTGTCTAGTGACCTTAATAATTAATGACTCCAAAATCGCCGCAAAACCGCTCAAAATTAAAAATAACAAATAATTCAATGTACTCAGAAGTGCCTCGGATGACTCATTATTTTATGATGCCAAGAAAGAGTCAACTCTCTTTCCTGAATTTCTTTCACTTTCTTTTATCCGAGTAAAGAGAAATTGGTGTTAAATCAAGGTAGTACCCCTTAATTAAGTCATACCTGCGTTGGCTGAGTTTTTAATTTTTAGTAACGACTGCTTGGTAAAAGAAGTTTAGAGTAAATGCAAAACGATACATTGATCCCAACTGAGAATTTTTCCTTAAATAATAACGTATCAGCTGAGTTTTACGGAAAAGAGTTCGAAGAGAGTTTCGATAAGATTACCTCCGATCGTCCAGCCAGCTCAAACCTGGCCCAACAATCTTTGAAAACTCGGAATATTTTCAACCGTAAACGACCAAACCATCTGATCTCTCTTTCTCTTTTTCAGCCTTTATCGTTATTCCCTATTGACTGTGAAAAGTCTGCTTTGATTTAAAAATGTCAGTTAAACAAGAGGAATTTACCGTAAAATTCACTCAGTTGAAATCTGATCTTTAGTGTCTGCATTTTCCGTAACCTGACTACAGTATATTCTCATCTCTGAGACGGACATCTTTGGGGCCCATCACCGGCTAAGTGTCCGTCTAAGAGTGATGTCCATTTTGTAGAGAGTCAAATAAAGGCAGTAAATATAGGCAGGGACCAACTCTAGGTGTCCGTTTGACTGAGGTGTCCGTCTTAAAGAGGTGTCCAATTTAGAGAGAGTCGACTGTATTCACCAGAAAATTAGATCAAGTATAATCAGCAAATGAGTACAAGTTTGATACAATTGGATAGTAATTATGGTAATTGGTGTTAATCTGCTGACAGAATCGACAGATTTTCGAAGCCCCTAGTTTCACTTATTCGCTTCCTAACCAGTGCAACTGGCAAAGCTCTACTGGAGTAAGCCTTTAGACGTCTTTTACTCAGACGCCCTCAGAGTCTTCAGAGTCTTCAGTGCACTGGAGCTGAGAATGAAGGAAGAGCGAAAACCAAATCGGACCACGGTGCATGCTTTCTTCAGCCAACACTACATGTGGGCTTGACACGGAGGCGGAAACAGTGGGTGATTAAGCAATATAGGACCAGGTGCGACTAGTCCTTGCAGTATAAATAATTACATCTTATTTACTTGTCAAATACGTTTTTTATTATGGACAGAGTACGAGAAACTGATTTATGGTCATTTGGTATGCAATTCTTTTTCACGTAGTTTACATTAATTAACATTACTTTTCCACAGCCTACATGCCAGACTGAGATTTCATTTACGTAAGATTTTTTTCCAGCAAAGTTCGTCTCACAGTTCCATAATGGAATTGAATTTCTCGTTTTAACTCTCTTTGCTTGGCGGTTCGCTCAGTAGCCTCATCTTATCTCGTACCAAGTTCTGGCACGGCTGAGAGAAAAGGAGATCCCTCTTTAAACGCGTAAAACAGAGTATCTGGGTACGCGGATTATGGTGTACTCCTCGATTGCTGTAATCCTACCCTGGTATGAATATGTATAAAATATTATACACTTCAACACCCCTCTCGTAAATATTATCAGAGAATGCAGGGAAAAAGAAAACGAAAGCTATAAGAGACATGTATTGAAGTATCTCTCTACTTACTAACTTACACCGGCAATATCAGGTTGGAATCACATCGGAATCGGTTGAAGAGCCGAGCTTGTCAGACCGAGCCATTTTTTTTTCTCAACGGTTTAGCGTAGGGCAAGAATAACGTAAGAGAATTGCGTAAGAGTCTAAAGCGCATCTTTCCCCTGTCTTGCTCTCTGTTTTCAGCTTCGCGCCAGACCTTTTGTTTAACTGTTGGCTCGTACTTGAATAGGCAAAAATACGGACTGTTTTGAGGTCTATGTTTGGGACAAAAAATTCCTAAAATACCTACCCTGTTTAGGACAACACCCTCAATTTTCTTACCCTGATTAGGACAAAGGTCAAAATGTACCCCGCCTTGTTTTCAATGCGATTTGTTGGCAATTCCAATAGAGAAAATTCACGTTATGGTCTTTGCTTTTGTGTACTTGGAGTACAAACAAAATTCCTCTAGCAAATCAAATCCGTCATGCAGGCAATACCCTGTTGACAGACTCACACGAAATTATATACCCTGTTTAGGAAAGACTTACTCCAGATTATATACCCTGTTTATAACAGAGGTAAAAGACCAAACCCTGACCAGCGGCACATCCCCGTGTAGGCCATTTAATTGAGAACCCCACGGGCAAAAAACCACCCTGCTGCCCTAGTCTGGAGGGCAAGGAAATACGTGTATGTTCAACTGGGCTTACTTCAAGTTATCATGACCAACAATATTTGCATATCGAGTGAAGAATTGAATCCAACAATTCCAACCCCTCCATTTCCAGCTTTTAAAACTAGCTCGTGAACAGCATNAGCCGAGCTTGTCAGACCGAGCCATTTTTTTTTCTCAACGGTTTAGCGTAGGGCAAGAATAACGTAAGAGAATTGCGTAAGAGTCTAAAGCGCATCTTTCCCCTGTCTTGCTCTCTGTTTTCAGCCTCGCGCCAGACCTTTTGTTTAACTCTTCGCTCGTACTTGAATAGGCAAAAATACGGACTGTTTTGAGGTCTATGTTTGGGACAAAAAATTCCCAAAATACCTACCCTATTTAGGACAACACCCTCAATTTTCTTACCCTGATTAACACATAGGTCAAAATGTACGCCGTCTTGTTTTTAATGCCATTTGTTGGCAATTCCGATAGAGAAAATTCACGTTATGGTCATTGCCTTTGTATACTTGGAGTACAAACAAAATTCCTCTAGCAAATCAAAGCCGTCGTGCAGGCAATACCCTGTTGACAGACTCACACGAAATGATATACCCTGTTTAGGAAAGACTTACTCCAGATTAAATACCGTTTATAACAGGGAGGTAAAAGACCAAACCCTGACCAGCGGCACATCCCCGTGTAGGCCATTTAATTGAGAACCCCACGGGCAAAAAACCACCCTGCTGCCCTAGTCTGGAGGGCCGGGAAATACGTGTATGTTCAACTGGGCTTACTTCAAGTTATCATGACCAACAATATTTGCATATCGAGTGAAGAATTGAATCCAACAATTCCAACCCCTCCATTTCCAGCTTTTAAAACTAGCTCGTGAACAGCATAATTTTGCACCGTTCCCCAGACGATCTGTTTTTGTTTGTATCTATTTTGTTTGTTTGTTTGTTTTTGGCTCACATAACCCACTGAACAATAAGTATGAAAATAAAATTTTATTAGATTTTGACGATTCAAACTGTCAAAGTTTTGATTAAGATTCATCCGATTTCTTCTTCCGCCGTGTGTTCTTCTAAGTGTAAAACGTTTGACAGTTCGGACTGTCGAAATAATTGTGGGTGTTTGAAGAAAATAATAATTCAATTTCCATCTATACCCCAACAGAAGAATCTTCATTCCCTCGTAAGCATGTCCGCGAACTCGAGATTATTGAATTGAGGTGTTCCCTCGGGGTACTTTTACGATGAAAATGAAAAAAACATTGGGTAATGAAACTCAAAAATGAATATCAAATAGCGAGTACGTGTTTGTTCGTCAAATCTATTAGGCAATCGAAACAATCTTCCTTTGAACATGTAGAGATATTTATTTGTATTAAAATTAGTCGTTATGCCCAAGGGATTCCATCAGTGATAAAAACAGCTTGTTGTTTTCGAGAGTGATGCTACTTTAAACTGCAACTTTAGATCTTGACCCACACCCAGATCCAGGATCTGTCAAAGCTAAAATGATCATCGGTGGTCCTCTTTCGCTTCTTTTTGGCTTGGTTTTTCTGTCAAACCTTTCCACAGGTAAGTAAAACGGCATTTATCCATCACATTTTAAGTTAACAACTGATAATTTGATTGCCAGATCATCCCAAAATCCTACCCAAAGTTTAGCTGAATTGGTAGAGATGCCGATAAATTTTGCAATCGGCTTGAAATTTAGTAGCTCCGGTTCTGTCTGCGTTGTAATCAAGGCCAATTTAACCGGAAAAACGATAATAAATAGAAAGCACATTATATCAGTCAATTTTTTTCAGGATATAAAAATCCTTAGTTCTGGTAAAATTTTGTCTAAAATCCAATCTGTCCTGGTTCTGACTATATTTGAACCCAAAGTTGAATAAAATGTGATTCCAATTACACTCACGATAGCTCGGTTTAGTTACGCTTCTTGATTTATGAAGAAAAAGTATTCAGTTATGGCAATTTTTCAGTCATTTTCCAGATCGATTTCAATTGCTTTGCATGCTTCTATTGTCGATCATTGTCTGTTTTATCCACCTCTGATTGGTTAATTTCATGCCTTGGTTCAGTTTTGATTTGCCAATGAGTGTTTTCTTCGGTGTACGAGTCCAGCTTCACTTGGTACTAAAATTGTTTCCTGCTATCAGCGTCGCTTATCTAGGAAGATCGAAGGAGACTCTTCTG